GAGGGAGGGAGAGAGAGAGAGAGAGAGAGAGAGAGAAAGAGAGAGATTGAGATTGAGGTCTTGAGGAGCAGAATAGAGAGGTGGCTGGGAAAGAAAAAAGAAAGATGGAATGTACTAAGCAGACAGCTGCTGAAAAGGGAAGCTAATGATGCCACTTTGCAGAAATCAGAACACCCTGTTCCTCTCCAGAACTTCAAAATAAGCACCTTTCTGGGATGGAGTTTCCCGGCCCTTTGAAGCAGCAGTAAATTTTACCTGGTCATGTGGCTGCTGGAGCCTAGGCTTCTGTCTCTCCTTTTGCTGGGGTGTGCACTTTTCTGCCTTCCACCACGCTCCAGCCAGCTTCCCCTGACTCCCTCCCTCTGGACCTGGAGCAAAAGGGCGAGGCGATGGCCCTCAGACCAGTCCTCTGGTGCCCATGCTGGAGCAGCGGGTGAGCACCCAGCCTGTGGGGAGGGGATGTGGCGACACTCGGCTCTGTGATAGGCTGGACAGGGGGCTGGATGAGGCTCCTTGGCAGACTCCGGCTTTTGGAAGGAACTAGGCACGTGTTTCTAATTGCGGACGGGCTGCCGGGGTTGGCCTGCCTAACCGTTTCCAGATCTAGGAGGTAACTAGCGCCGGCTGCCAAAAGGCACTGACAGGCAAAGAAAACACGGAGCTCTGTTTGAATTCTAACGCATATAACCCAGGGCTCTGATAAGGTTCCAGTTCTGCTCATGCAGGCCAGTCTGAGCTAATTTTCCTCCTCACAGACCTGAGAGAGGCTGCGGGAACATTGGGGTAGGAGTGCAGACACACAGAGCCAGCTTCCTAGAATCCTTCCCTATTTGCCCAAGGCCAAGACATTTTTCATGTAGGGTGAGGAGCCACATTAGAGTCTCCAGTCTCTGCCCACTTAAAACAAAGGTATATTGTACATGTAAATAACTCCATTAGTGAAAGACAAAACATCAAAACAAAGCAACAGCCACCAAAAAAAATCAAAGCAGCTCTTGCGTATAAACCAAGCTTTGATCCCAGCTTCTGTTAGGTTCATAAATAGGCTCTGAAATAGATCTCGCCTGCCACACTACAGTAACATTTTGCCCTTTTCATCTAGAAGCACTGCCACCATTTGAGAAGTCTCAGAAGCACTCTATGCAGAGGAGGTGTGCTGAGCCTTCTAGAAGGGCCTCTCTCTGCCAAGGATAAACAAGCAGAGGGGTAGGGGCAAAGAGACCCTGTGGAGCTTCTGAAGTCCAGAATCACACAGTTTTTCCTGGACACTTTCAGCGGAGCTCTCGCCTGCACTGCCTCACCCCTGCCCCTTCCCTTCCTGGCTCTCTCTTCCCCTTCCTTCCTATCCTAATCCCTCAGAGGCAAGTGCCAGTTGCTCGACCCGGACTTTCTGCTGAATCACCATCCAGTACTTAGTTTGGCCAAGAAGCCCAAACACCTAGCTTAGCATTTTCTAAGAGCTGAGTAGTTCTCTTTCCAGCATTAGCTAAGCATGGCTCCTGAGCTAGGGGAGAAGAGAAAAATGGAAGACACGCGGAAAGTAGGAGAGACAGACATAGTGCAGCATGTCACCTTGGGGAGCCCCTTTTTAATCCTACTCACAACTGTTCCAACCCAGGCCTGAGGAATTCCTATATCTCATGCCCCAATTCTCAGGCCTGACACCTCCCAGACTCAGAGCAAGGAGTCTCCATGGAACTCAAGAGGCCTCGCCTCACTCTCCATTATCCTCAGTCTTGGAGGAAAGGGTGTGGGTTGCGGGAGTCTGGTTGGTTCTCAGACTGGAAAGCTTGTGGGCTCTGTTAGGATCCACCAAGGTCTATAAACCTGGACTCCGGCTGCAATATTCCCAAGACTGGTCAGTGTGGATGAAAAAAGGGTTCTATGGAAAGTAACCTCACGGGGTGACCTGATCATAAATTCCTAACTGGGTAGGTCATGGT